CAGCGGCTGACTTGGGGACGCCTGGGGCAGAGCAGCTCGGGTGCTGCTGGGTTGGTCCAGTAGCGCCGAGGAGCGGCCACGCTACTGGACCAACCCAGCAGCACCCTAGCTGCTCTGCCCCAGGCTTCCTGGAATCAGCTGCTGATCAGTTTCAGCAGCAGCTGACTTGGGGACGCCTGGGGTTCTTAAGTTGAATCTGTATGTAAGTCAGAACTGGTGTCCAGATTCAGCGGCTGAATCTGGATGCCAGTTCCGACTTACATACAGATTCAACTTAAGAACAAACCTACAGTCCCTATCTTGTACGTAACCCGGGGACTGCCTGTACCAGAAAAAAGTACCTTTTAAAAGTTAGATAGTGCTATAAATAGTACAAAAAATGTCTATTAAGAGCTGTCATGCAATTAACCAGGTGCAATCTTAACTTGCCAAGTCCAACCCTGCAATTTGGGACTGAAGAGTTTGGATCTCAGATTAAAAAGCCAAGACATCAAGTTTCAAAGTGCACTCTAATCAAATTGTTCTTCCACTTAAAAAGATGATCTTAAGAGCATGCATTCTGAATCATGTACAAGTTACGATATTTTTTTCCATAGTGCCAATACAGGCAAATATTAGGACAATAATGGTATTGCTACATTGCAATAAAAGAATCCCCACAATACACAGCCAACTGGCCTATGTTAGCTGACTTGTGGTTGAGGGGCTCAGGTTGCTGGGCTATAAAAAATTGCAGTGCAGATCTCTGGGCTCAGGCTGGAGCCTGAATTCTGGGACTCTGAAAGAAGGAAGGACCCCAGAGCCTGGTTTTAGCCTGAGCAAGGGTTCCCTGAAAGGTGTGTACCTGCACAGGTGCACACCAAGAATTTCATTCCCACCCACCCTCTCAGCAAGGCCACACAGCTTCAGCCCCAGCTGCTCCCAGGGGCGAGGCCACGTGGCAAGTGACTGCCCACCCTGGGAGCAGCTGGGCAGCTACCACGCAGCCTGTGTGGCACCTGCCAGAGCTGGGGCCTGCACTGCAGTACTAAAAACAGCACCATGGCCCAGCTCCAGCACACAGGACAGCCGCCCACCATGCCTGGCAGGTGCAGATGTCAGGAAGGCAGAACGTGAGGGAAAGGGCAGGGAGATAACTAAGGGAAAGGTAGGGGTGAGGAGAGGAAGGGGCCAGAGCAGGAGAAGTAAAGGGAAGGCACCAACAGGCAGGGTGGAGGAGAGGCATATGCTAGGGGGCCAAGAGAAGACTATGAGGGAAAAGGGCAGGAGGAGCGGGGGTAGGGAGGAATGGGAAGGTGACAGTGGGATTGGAAGAGGCGAGGGGACAATGTGATGCTGAGAGAGGAGAGAGAGAGGGTGATGGGGGCAAGAGGAGGGGGAGGAGTGGGTGCCAGGAGAAGAGGAGTTGAAAGGGGGGGTGGACATGAGGAAGGCAGGGGTTGGAGCAAGTCATGTTTCAGGGCACAGAAGGGTATGAGATCTGGAGCAAAGGGTGGTGAGGGGGTAGGCACCAGGGAGGAAGAGGGCAAGGGGGCCAGGTGTCCAGGGACCATGAGGGAAAGGCAGGGACCATGAGGGAAGGAGGAGGGTGCGGGGGTAAGGGAAGGTGCATGTGCTAGGGAGACTGGGGGTGAAGTAGAAGGGCAGACATGGGGAGGGGAATAGAAGGTAAGGAAGGGATGGGCACCAAAGGAAAGAGCCAGGGCAGGTGGGTAGAGGGAGGTGTTAGGAGAGAGGATGGGGAGGGAGGCTAGAGGAAGGTTTGGCACAGGGGGGGAAGGGCAGTTTCAGGGTCAGAGAGGATGGGGTGGTGGGGCAAGTCCCAGGAGAGCTGAAGAGGGTGAGAAGGGCAGGAGCCAGGACAGCAGAGGAGGGTGAGGGGTGGAGGGGCAGCAGCAGGCACCAGGGATGGAGCGAGGTGGAGAATGGGAGACATGGCAGCAGAGGGGAAAAGGGAGAGGTTTATCACTTGGGTACCACAGTGGCACAAATCCAAACAAGCACACGTGACCTCAATATTGGTGCACAAGACAAAACTCACTCCGCTCGTGGATGGAAAAATCTTAGAGGGAACAGTGGCCTGAGCCCAGACATCTACCTTGCAATTTTACATTTCTGCAACCACAACCCAGAAAACTGACAAAGGTCAGCCAAAGGTGTTTTACTGCAGTATAGACAGAACATTGCACATTACAGAACATTGAATTACTTTTAGGGTAAGGGATATTCCAAGTGAATAGACTTCAAAACAAGTCACTCTACCTAAAATACATTGTTTAAAAAGATTCTTACTGTCAAACAAATTAGCAATCTTCTACACAATGCTGCTCTCAGGGTAAGAAATTCCTTAAGAAATTAAATACCTGCTTTCAGGGGAAGAAATTCTTTTTAAAAACATAAAATGTCAAGAAGCAGAGATGGCATATTTTCCATGTACTCAATAACAGAAAGGCCTCTAATCTCAGCAGGCTCTCATAAAAGAATAGCAAAACTGTTGAACTCTTGACAGTCAATACACTGGACCAACAATAAAGCCGTCTCCTGCCACAGGGTAAATAGCAGCAATGGATAAAATGTATTGTAACTGTTCTAGACTCCTAATTCATTCAAAATTCTAACTCTCATAGACCTTTTGTAAGAACTTAAGCATCTAAGCCATTTTGCAAGTGGGACTTACATACACTTAAACATGTTTACCCATCAATGTGACATGTCCCTGTCCCTTTTGTGTTGTGGTGAATCACTAATCTGTTTGTATGCATACAAATTTGAATAATATATTTTTAAAGCGCACACAGATTTCCCCTTAACAGTGGTAAGATCAGACAATGTTTAGAGTAACACTCAAAAATATCTGGGACAGTTATTTTTTTTCAGCCTTTATTAAAACACTAATTTGTGTTTACCAAAAAGCATTTCCCAGATAACTTTTCTAAACTGGCAAAAGTTGTTTAAAGTTATCTTGGATACAACAATCCCCCTGTTCCAGAGTGACATGCTTCCAAATGCTGTACAGGGATGCAGAGTGCCTCGCTCATCCTTCCATAAAAATACAACAAGGATTCAGTTATCACCAATCAGAATTTAAAGAGAATTTAAAAAGCCTCTTTTCAGGAGCACAGAGAACTGGGGATAGAGATACAAAGCACTGGCAGAGAAAGCTTTAAGAAGAGTCAATCTTGGGAGAAAGTTTAGGCTGAAGTTTATATTACACTAAATCACCAATAGAAGCCACAAGCATTATCTGCTTGTGGCTCCTTCCATGTCAAAAATATTTGTCCTTCAGCCCCCATACACATTGTTTCCTAACAAACCTACATCGTTCATTTTCATCGAACTAGCCACACATACACCAATATGTTTCAGCACACAAAAGTGAATTAAAAGTTTATACGGGCATTCATCTAAACAACTGTTTTATATTTGAGCTTTCTGTAAAAGTCAACATAAAATGGAAAACAAAAAAGTAACTACCCATAACACTTCAATACGTAATATATTTACCTTATTGGCTCCAAACTGTACTCTGGCTTTTCCTTTGACTAAAGTGGCATTGATCTGCATGATGACCGATTCTATTGAATAGGCACTACTCCAGCCCTAAAGGAAGAAGGAAAAACTTCTACAGAATATGTGCTTGTATCAGAATCACAGAACACTAGAACTGGAAGGGACCTCGAGAGGTCATCGAGTCCAGTCCTCTGCCCTCACAGCAGGACCCAGTACCATTTAGAACATCCCTGATAGATGTCTATCTAACCTGCTCTTAAATATCTCCAGAGATGGAGATTCCATCACCTCCCTAGGCAACTTATCCCAGTGGTTAACCACCCTGACAGTTAGGAACTTTTTCCTAATGTCCAACCTAAACCTCTCTTGCTGCAGTTTAACCCCACGGCTTCTTGTCCTATCCTCGGAGGCTAAGGAAAACAATTTTTCCCCCTTCTCCTTGTGACACCCTTTTAGATACCTGAAAACGGCTATCATGTCCCCTCTCAGTCTTCTCCTTTCCAAACTAAACAAGCCCAATTCTTTCAGTTTTCCATCACAGGTCTTTAATCAGTCTTGTTGTTCTTCTCTGGACCTTATTCTTATGCTCACCCTGCAAATCCACTCTGGAAAATACATTTCTTTCTGCTAAACTCTAGCAAACCATGGTATTCTTGGTTAGTAGATTTTTTAAATTATAAAACAATTAAGTTATTCCCACGAAAAACACAAGAAACTAAAGTAAACTATGTTAGCATAAAGAGCATGTAGTAAAAAGGAAAAAGCCAAGTTGCACATATTTCCAGAATCTGGTAAGACAAAAGACAAAGAAAAAACAAACAAACTACATTATAGCATTCTAATCATTTTAAGCTGGCTTTACAATAGTAATTACAGCTTTAAGAGATTGCTTTTAATGATTCAAGTGAGCAAAAAAAGCTTTCGGAGCTATTTTTGTAGGGGAGATGCTGGCCCTTGCAATCTTCCTTCTCTAGGCAGCAGATATATACCCTAAGTTAAAGCTTCAGGGGTTAGCCGAGTTAGTGGGCTGTGCCCATGAAAGCTCCCTACATGTTTTGTTAGTCTATAAAGTGCTACCAGACCTTTTGTTGTTTTTAAAGTTTATACTAAGTTAAAGCTGCTTCAAGCACCATACACCAAAGCCCAGTACCTGCATCCCCATAATAAATTTTGTGGGGCATCTGCTGAGGTTGGAGATAAACAGAGGGTTCAAAGAAGCAAGATAACATGATCCTACCTTTTATTGGACCTGGGGCTCCCTCTCTCAGATCCGAGGATTCCCACAAGTTTGGGGGCAGGAGAAAGTGCAGCATTTCCAGTTTCCACCCTACCTCCCCAGTCCCTCCAGAGTGAAGAGGAAAATATGATTCAAGTTCAATAAGGGGACCCTTACAGAGTCCAAGTTTCCTGGATCTTGGTCCTCCACAGTAGGCATTTCCACAGGAGTGTATGATTTGATCCTGTGGTACTGTTTAAGCTCTTATACAAAAACACCTGTTTATTTCTATTACTGTTCTTAAGAAGTATGCTTTGTTCTAGTCAGGATGCTAACTAAACTAAACATTGCAACCTTCCACTATTACTCTTGGCAATTTAAAAAAAAATACAAGGAAAATACGTAAGATTTTGATTTTATATTCACCTGTTTAGTAAGAAGTTCCATGCATAATGCACCCCCACCCAGGACATACCTAAAAATAAATGTTAGATTAGAAATTCTGATTTCAACATAGCTTTTATTTCGCATCTTTCAAGACCAGCTGTAAGCGATTACTATGCAGCCATACCCTTAGGCTGTTATGGGTCTATCATACTGTTTGCTCAGCTATATATTCAAATTAGAGAGCACTTTCAAGGACAATATATTGCTATTTGTTAACCTTATACATTTGTTTATATAGAACAGAATAATGTCTTAGTGAGAATCAGTGACTCAAGTAGTCTGCATAGTTTACAGTCAGAACTGAAAAATGTGATAGAGGAATGCTATTTTTAATGGCTCTACTATGGAATTTAACACAATTTCAGCACTTTACAAGTATGCAGCAGCTTCCTCTTCTCAGAAGAGACAAGAAACATTACTTAATCTAAAAGCTCACTTTTTCCTCAAGCATTGTGTCACTTCTAAACCAAATAACCCCCCAAATGCACTATACATACTGGAAAGTCACTTTGAATGGACATTAGCAACTCACAACATGCCTGGGCAACAAAGAAACTAGGATAGAGTAATGGAAGTTTTAAGCCCACAAAGTGCAGAATGTCCTCCCTCACCCTAACTATAAGGGGAAGAGAGGACACATTTCTGACTCTGGAATTGTGTAACATTCCTCTGCAAATAGTCATTAAAAATCTAGACCTTCAGAGCTATTAACTTTTCCTTTTCCAGCAGTTTTGCACAAGAAAGAATCAGTTTAAGGAAGACAGTATGCTTCCAAATGGGTAATGAATGTGCATTCTTGAATTAAGGTGGACAAGTGGTCAAGACAGTTAGAATCAGCTTCTATAAAATCTAGGGGGGGAAAAAAACTTGCTCTCACTTACCTTCCTACAACGATACTGTATTCCATCCCCTCCCAACAAATATCTAAAAGTTTTCTCAACAAAGTCCAGCCAATGTACTTCACCAATACACTAAGGCAGTGTTTCCGATATGGTGCTCTGCAGAACCCTGGGGTTCTGCGAAAAAATTCTGCTCCCCTGCTCCCTGCAGAACTCATAGGCAGCTCCCATTGGGGCTTTGCCAGTGAGGATGGGCTTCTGGGAGCGTGCGGCTTTGGCCACTCCACCACCCACTGTGGCTACCCCCCCCCTGCGCACAGCATGGCCCCATCTCACTCTGCATGACTGCCCTGTCTCAGTGCTTTGCAGCCAGCTCCTCCTAGTGTGCAGGCAGCAGCTTTTACAGTGGTGGGGGCGGCTGCTGCTGCTAGGAGGGGGGGGGGTGGCCAGAGCCGAGGAGCTGCTCTCGGACCTTGGCATTTTTAAATTGCTGCCTGCGTGGAAC